AGAGCTCCAGCGTTTCTCTGTGGAGAGAGGAGAACCTTCTAGAAGAACAACCATCTCTGCAGCACTCCAACTATCAGACCTGTATGGTAGAGTGGCCAGGCAGAAGCCACTCCTCAGTAAAAGGCAAATGGCAGCCTGCCTGGAGTTTGCCAAAAAGGCACTTGAGGGTCTCTAAAACCATAAAAATCAAAACTCTCTGGTCTGATGAAACAAAGATTGAACTCTTTGGCTTGAATGCCATCCCTACAGGAATGGAGGAAACCAGGCATTGCTCACCACCTGGCCAATGCCATCCCTACAGCAAAGCATGGTGGTGGCAGCATCATGCTGTGGACATGTTTTTCAGCGGCAGGAACTGGGAGACTAGTCAGGATCAAAGGAAAGATGAATGCAGCAATGTACAGAGACATCCTTAATGAAAACCTGTTCCAGAGCACTCTGGACCTTACACTGGGGGAAAGGTTCCTCTTTCAACAGGTCAACGGCCCTAAGCATACAGCCCACATAACAAAGGAGTGGCTACAGGTCAACTCTGTGAATGTCCTAGAGTGGCACAGCCAGAGCCAAGACTTGAACCTGATTGAACATCTCTGGAGAGATCTGAAAATGGTTGTGCACTGACGCTCTCCCCATCCAACCTGATGGAGCTTGAGAGGTACTGCAAAGAAGAATGGGAGAAGCAGGGGAGACCTGGGGGGAGGGGCCTGAACATGGCGCTGTGAGTTGTAGGAGCTCCAGACACCTGCCACTGATGGGAGATGCCTAGATCAAGACCCTGAGCTTACCTAAGTCCCGGCGAGTGTGGAGACAGGTGGCTGTGGTGCCTCTGTGACCAGGCGGCCCTCATGGCAGCTGGCAGTAGATTCAGCCAGAATTGAGCCACTGGTGTGGTCGACTGTCCGCTGGAGTGTGTTGGAGTCCCGGGATCCCGGCGGACCGGGAGCAGGAAGCGGCAGCATCTGAGGAGAGGGGGACACTGGGAGTGACCAGGTAACTGCTCATGTGACTGGGATAGGAAGTCCCAAAGGTCCAGGTAAGACTTGGTGGATGAAGAGGAGGCAGTGCATTGGAGGAGAATCCCTTCAGATTGATATATCCCTACGAGGAAACCCTAAGACACCCTTGGTTACCTAGAAGACCCCCCCACAGGTACATCTGGAAACTTGGTTTGGAAGCTAAGGTCGGGACTGAAGGGTGAACAAGGATGGAACAATCCTGTACTGTTGGCATGGAGGGCGATGGTGAGTTGCTGTAGGTAATGGCAGGACACTTAAATTTCTGCTGTACTTGATGTATCTGAGTAAAGTAAAGCATACCTGAGAATTGAGGGGGGATGAAGGACTATATCGCTGGGTGTTCTCAGAGGTTGGTGGAACTGTTTAAATCACTCTTGCTCCCAAAGTAACACAGTAGGGGTCATAAAGGTCACTAGAGGAAAAGGAAAAAGGGACTATTTCGGGGACGATAATATTGCATTTGCGCACTGGTGGATAATCAGCGGCAAAGCTAAAGATATGAAGAGTAGAGCAGCTAAAGTGGGGGGGATCAAAAAAACCCCAATTAAACGCAAACCCCAGTACAATAAGGATATATTTGCCCCTGCTAGAGATAAGCCCGGAGAATTTATCCTCGGAAAAAAACAGCAGAAGAGATCTAGAAAACATGACAGTGACCAATCCAGACTGTCATTTGGGACACGAGAAGCAAACCAGACCAATGAATCGATAAATATAGATAGTGTAATAGAGCAAAGTGTCATGGAACAACAGGGGGCTACAGTTGCAAGAAAAAGTATGTGAACCCCTTGGGATTACGTGGAGTTTTGCATGAATTGGGCATAAAATGTGCTCTGAACGTCATCTAAGTCACAACAATAGAAGAACACAGTCTGCTGAACGTAATACCACACAAACATTAGATGTTGCCATGGTTTAATTGCACATAACATGTAAACATTCACAGTGCAGGGAGGAAAAAGTATGTGAGGCCCTAGCTTAATGACTTCTCCCAGAGCTAATTGGAGCCAGGAGTGAACCAACCTTGACTCCAATCAGTGTGATGATATTGGATGTCTTGCTGACAGCTTTCCTGCCCTGAAAAAAAACACACCTGTTTTGGGTTTACTGGTTTCAAGAAGCACTGTCTGATGTGAACCATGCCTCACAGAAAAGAGCTCTCAGAAGACCTATGATCAAGAATTGTTGACTTGCATGAAGCTGGAAAGGGTTACAAGAGTATCTCCAAAAGCTTTGATGTTCATGTGTCCACGGTAAGACAGACTGTCTACAAATGGAGAAAGTTTAGCACTGTTGCTACTCTCCCTAGGCGTGGTCATCCTGTAAAAAATGACTGCAAGAGCACAGCGCATAATGCTGCATGAGGTAAAGAAGAATCCCAGAGTGTCAGCTAAAGACCTACAGAAATCTCTGGCACATGCTAACATTTTTGTTGACACATCTACAATAAGGAAAACATTAAACAAGAATGGAGTACATGGGAGGACACCACGGAGGAAGCCATTGCTGTCCAAAAACAATATTGCAGCACGTTTGAAGTTTGCAAAAGAGCACCTGGATGTTCCACAGCACTACTGGCAAAATATACTGTGGACAGATGAAACCAAGATTGAGTTGTTTGGGAAGAACACACAACACTATGTGTGGAGAAAAAAAGGCACAGCACACCAACATCAAAACCTCATCCCCACTGTAAAACATGGCGGAGGGAGCATCATGGTTTGGGGCTGCTTTGCTGCCTCAGGGCCTGGACGGATTGTTGTCATTGATGGGAAAATGAATTCCAGAGTTTATCAAGACATTTTGCAGGAAAACAGACGACCATCTGTCCGCCAACTGAAGCTCCGCAGAGGATGGGTGATGCAACAGGACAATGACTCAAAGCATACAAGTAATTCAACAAAACAATGGCTGCAACAGCACAGAATACGCCTTCTGGAGTGGCCCAGTCAGAGTCCTGACCTCAACCCGACTGAAATGCTGTGGCATGTCCTTAAGAGAGCGATTCACACGAGATATCCCAAAAATATTGCTACACTGAAACAGTTTTGTGAAGAGGAGTGGTCCAAAATTACTCCTGATCATTGTGCAGGTCTGATCTGCAACTACAGGAAACGTTTGGTTGAGGTTATTGCTGCCAAAGGAGGGTCAACCAGTTATTAAGTCCAAAGGTTCACATACTTTTTCCTCCCTGCACTGTGAATGTTTACATGTTATGTGCAATTAAACCATGGCAACATCTAATGTTTGTGTAGTATTATGTTCAGCAGACTGTGTTCTTCTATTGTTGTGACTTAGATGACGTTCAGAGCACATTTTATGCCCAATTCATGCAAAACTCCACGTAATCCCAAGGGGTTCACATACTTTTTCTTGCAACTGTATGTCACAATACCTACAAAAACTGAAATGGTGGAAATGTTTGCGAAAATGGAGATGTCAATGAAAAACGAAATGGATGCAATACGTAACGATCTGGATCAAATGCTGACAAGAGTTGAAGAAGTAGAGGGCAAAATGGAGACACATGCTCAATTGATCACTAAATTAGAAATGCAGGTGGAAGAGATGCAAAAAGAACAGAGAGAACTCTCATTTAAACTGGAAGATCAAGAGAATAAAGAGAGCAGAAATAATCTAAGGATTTGTGGCCTAACAGAAGAGTCCCAAGGTGAAGATTTGCAGGATAAAATAATGAGTGTGTTCAATCCACTGATAGGCAGAGCAACAGCAACAGAACACTTGAAAATGGAGAGAGTACATAGGATTCGGCGACCTCAAGGAGTGACAGCAGAATCTCTCAGAGATGTGATAGTACAATTCCACAACTTTGAGCATAGAGAAAGAATATGGAAAAAATTGCGTGAGACCACTGAAATAAAAACACAGAGAAATAAAGCGGCAAAGTTTTGCCGACATCGCATTCAAGACATTAGCCAGAAGAAGACCCTTGAAACCATTGCTGGAACAGGTGAGAGAGAAAAAAGTTCAACACAATTGGGGTTTCCTGGCAAGTCTGATTGGGTGGAAAGATGGGAAATTGGGAAGATTGAGATTTCCAGAAGAATTAAATGACTTTTGTGAACAATTGGACTTACAGAAAATTGACATTGAAGGGTAGATAGTGGGGCCTAAAGAGAGTTAAGGGTTGGGAAAAGTGGCAGTTGGTAACTAAAAAGAGAACGTGAGCTGGAGTGGGGTGGGGGAGGGCCAAGGGAGGAGAGGGGGGAATTCCCCAACCTCTCCTTGGCCCCAGTGTTTTTTTTTCCCCTCTCTCTCTCTCCCTTTCGCTCCTCACTTCCCACACCAGCGTTACGATTCCCTTGCCTCATAAACTAGGAGGGTTGCATATGCAGTAGGAACTATGAGGAAGATAAGTAGGAAATGGCGGGACGTCTGGGGGCCACACATGCTACCAAACTCTAGGAGGGGAGGGTGGTTAGGGGGTGGGGTAGATGCCCATGTCCTTAAATGTCTATGTTTATTTCCCTTAGAATGGAAATTCAGAGAAGTGAAACATTTTTATAAATGAGTTTGATCAATTATAACGTGAAAGGATTAAACTCTCCAACCAAAAGACATAAGATACTCAGGGAAATCCATCAATATTCTATAGATGTAGTGTTTTTACAAAAGACATGTATATCACACGATACAAATGTTAAGTTATATTCAAGGTGCTATCCAACCTGGTATTATGCTGATTCACCAATAAAAAGGACCAAAGGGGTAGCGATTGGGTTCTCAAAACATGTAAGCTTCACTCTGGAAGAGAGACTGGTGGATCTAGGAGGTCGGTTTCTATTCCTGAGAGGAAAATTACAAGAAGCTGACTGCACATTGGTTAACATTAGAGATGAGCGAATTATTCAAAAATTCGATTCGGCTGATTCGCCGAATTCGCGGAATAAATTTGATTCGAGGCGAATATATTCGCTGCGAATTTAACTTATAAAAAGGGTGTTTCTAGGCTTCAGAGAGCCTTTATATTAGTGCAGAACACTGTACCTTTAATTTAAATGCCCTTGGAGTCTGCTGGGGAAGAGAACTAATACTGTCAGTCAGTATGACATGCAGATGAGTGCCGTCGATCTTAGAATCACCGCACACTTCACTCATTTGGGCAGTCACGGGGCCAAAACCAGAGTGTGGAGCCACAGTGTGGCCGTGGAGGCAGCAGCAATGGGAGGCCATACAGCACCCTATGACAAAATGGAACCCACCAGCAGTGTGAGGAGACCTGAAAGTGGCACATGGCAGAGTGTGGCGATGGAGACAGCAGCAATGGGAGGCTGTACAGGGACCCATGACACACTCTGGACCTGGCAGCAGCATGAGGAGGCGGTACAGGGGCCCATGACAGATTACGGGCCTGGCAGCAGCATGAGGAGTCGGTACGGGGGCCCATGGCAGATTACGGGCCTGGCAGCAGCAATGGGAGGCCATACAGCACCCTATGACAAAATGGAACCCACCAGCAGTGTGAGGAGACCTGAAAGTGGCACATGGCAGAGTGTGGCGATGGAGACAGCAGCAATGGGAGGCCGTACAGGGACCCATGACACACTCTGGACCTGGCAGCAGCATGAGGAGGCGGTACAGGGGCCCATGACAGATTACGGGCCTAACAGCAGCATGAGGAGTCGGTACGGGGGCCCATGGCAGATTACGGGCCTGGCAGCAGCAATGGGAGGCCATACAGCACCCTATGACAAAATGGAACCCACCAGCAGTGTGAGGAGACCTGAAAGTGGCACATGGCAGAGTGTGGCGATGGAGACAGCAGCAATGGGAGGCCGTACAGGGACCCATGACACACTCTGGACCTGGCAGCAGCATGAGGAGGCGGTACAGGGGCCCATGACAGATTACGGGCCTGGCAGCAGCATGAGGAGTCGGTACGGGGGCCCATGGCACATTATGGGCCTGGCAGCAGCAATGGGAGGCCATACAGCACCCTATGACAAAATGGAACCCACCAGCAGTGTGAGGAGACCTGAAAGTGGCACATGGCAGAGTGTGGCGATGGAGACAGCAGCAATGGGAGGCCGTACAGGGACCCATGACACACTCTGGACCTGGCAGCAGCATGAGGAGGCGGTACAGGGGCCCATGACAGATTACGGGCCTGGCAGCAGCATGAGGAGTCGGTACGGGGGCCCATGGCAGATTACGGGCCTGGCAGCAGCAATGGGAGGCCATACAGCACCCTATGACAAAATGGAACCCACCAGCAGTGTGAGGAGACCTGAAAGTGGCACATGGCAGAGTGTGGCGATGGAGACAGCAGCAATGGGAGGCCGTACAGGGACCCATGACACACTCTGGACCTGGCAGCAGCATGAGGAGGCGGTACAGGGGCCCATGACAGATTACGGGCCTGGCAGCAGCATGAGGAGTCGGTACGGGGGCCCATGGCAGATTACGGGCCTGGCAGCAGCAATGGGAGGCCATACAGCACCCTATGACAAAATGGAACCCACCAGCAGTGTGAGGAGACCTGAAAGTGGCACATGGCAGAGTGTGGCGATGGAGACAGCAGCAATGGGAGGCCGTACAGGGACCCATGACACACTCTGGACCTGGCAGCAGCATGAGGAGGCGGTACAGGGGCCCATGACAGATTACGGGGCCTGGCAGCAGCATGAGGAGTCGGTACGGGGGGCCCATGGCAGATAACGGCCTGGTAGCAGCAATGGGAGGCCATACAGCACCCTATGACAAAATGGAACCCACCAGCAGTGTGAGGAGACCTGAAAGTGGCACATGGCAGAGTGTGGCGATGGAGACAGCAGCAATGGGAGGCCGTACAGGGACCCATGACACACTCTGGACCTGGCAGCAGCATGAGGAGGCGGTACAGGGGCCCATGACAGGTTACGGGCCTGGCAGCAGCATGAAGAGTCGGTATGGGGGCCCATGGCAGATTACGGGCCTGGCAGCAGCAATGGGAGGCCATACAGCACCCTATGACAAAATGGAACCCACCAGCAGCGTGAGGAGACCTGAAAGTGGCACATGGCAGAGTGTGGCGATGGAGACAGCAGCAATGGGAGGTCGTACAGGGACCCATGACACACTCTGGACCTGGCAGCAGCATGAGGAGGCGGTACAGGGGCCATGACAGATTACGGGCCTGGCAGCAGCATGAGGAGTTGGTACGGGGGGCCCATGGCAGATTACGGGCCTGGCAGCAGCAATGGGAGGCCATACAGCACCCTATGACAAAATGGAACCCACCAACAGTGTAAGGAGACCTGAAAGTGGCACATGGCAGAGTGTGGCGATGGAGACAGCAGCAATGGGAGGCCGTACAGGGACCCATGACACACTCTGGACCTGGCAGCAGCAAGAGGAGGCGGTACAGGGGCCCATGGCAGAGTGGCGAAGCGTAAGCAGCTTAAATTGAAGGCCATACAGAGGCCTATGTTAAAAATAATAACATGTTTGGGGCATGATTCATGGCGGATTTAGTCAGTTGTGTCAGGAACTGGTGGTTTGAAATCCAGACTAATCCACGCCTGATTCATTTTCACAAACGTGAGTCTATCCACACTTTGGGTGGACAGTCGTGTCCTCCGCGGAGTTACAATACCTCCTGCCGCACTAAACACGCGCTCCGATGCCACGCTACTGGCCGGGCATGACAGCCTTTCAAGGGCAAATTCAGCTAGTTGGGGCCAAAGGTCAAGTTTCGTTGCCCAGTAGTCAAGGGGATTGTCTACCTCGGTTGGCAGGGTGCTGTCCAAGTAGGCCCGAGCCTGTTGTTTGAGGTCCTGCTCCAGGTCCACCTGATGCTGCTGCTGCTGCGGCTGGTTAGTAGTTTCCTCACTGCGCTGGTGAAGAAAGCTACTCATCATCGACTGCAGACTGAGGCAGCCGCTGCTGGTGGAGCTGCCACTGCTCCTACCACCCCACCCCTCCCCTGCTGCCATGGCAGCGGAACGCGAGCGCACAGGGCCCACAGTGTCTGAGGATGGACGTTGGCGCAGAAAGGCAGAGACCAACTGACTACATAGGTGGTTTTTATAGTACGTTATTTTGGCCTCCCTCTCAGCAGGTGTGAAAAAGGCCACCATTTTTGAACGGTAGCGAGGGTCCAACAAGGTGGACAGCCAAAAGTCATCCCTCTGTCTGATGGTTATTATTCGGCTGTCGCTACGCAAGCAACCGAGCATGCTATGGGCCATTTGTGCCAAGGAATGCGAGGGACTCCCTGCCTCCATCTCCACAGCATACCGCCACGGTGCGTCTGGGTCCTCTGTCTCCTCCTCCTCCTCTACCAGATGCTCCTGCTCCTCCACTCCTGTCCGCTGAGTGGAAAAACCACCCATTTCACTCAATAATTCCTGAGCACCAATGTCCTCCTCTACCTCCTCCTCTTCTTCCTGTCCTGCCCCCACAGGGGTCATGTGGCGTTGAGATCTGTGCGCCACGTCTACCGCACCCTGACCAGCCATTGTTAACAGCATTTGTTCCAGGACGTGCAACAGAGGAATGACGTCGTTCATCCCATAGTCCTGCCGACTCACGAATAGCGTGGCCTCCTCAAAGGGCCTGAGCAAGCGGCAGGTGTCACGCATGAGCTGCCAATGGCTGACATCTAAGTTACACAGGGGAGTACCTTTATCCGCTTGTAACATCAGGAAATCGGTGATGGCCTTTTGCTGTTCGTAAAGGCGGTCTAACATATGTAGGGTTGAATTCCACCTTGTTGCAACGTCGCAGATCAGGCGATGCTGTGGAATTCCGTTCTGCCGCTGCAGCTCAAGGAGGGTGTGCTTTGCGGTGTAGGAATGGCTGAAATGCATGCAAAGTTTACGTGACATTTTAAGGATGTCTTGTAGTGGGATGGTGGATTTTAGGAACCGCTTGACAACCAGATTGAACACGTGAGCCATGCATGGCGCATGGCACAACCTTCCTTGACGCAGAGCAGACACCATGTTCTTTCCGTTGACGGTCAACATGGTTCCGATTTTCAGTTTGCGCGGAGACAGCCATCTGTCGATTTCTCTGTTCATTACACTCAGAAGTTCCTCCCCTGTGTGACTACGTTCGCCAAGGCATACCAGGTGCAGCACAGCGTGACACCGTTGCGCCCTGCACATGTGATATGCCGGTCGGGTAATGGGACTTGGCACGGGGGTGGCGGCTGAGGACACGGCGGAAGAAGAGGTGGTAGAGGCGGACATCTTTGCTGGACCAAGGATGTGCAAACGTGGAGGCAAAAGCGGCGTGACCTGTCCAAGTTGCTGGTGCGGCTGTGCCGGCACCACGTTCACCCAGTGGGCCGTAAATGACATGTACTGTCCCTGACCGTAGTTACAGCTCCACACGTCGGCGCTGCCGTGCACTTTGGCAGAGACCGACATGCTCAAAGACTGGCCCACCATCTCTTCTACATGTGAATGCAGGGCTGGCACTGCCTTTTTGTCGAAGAAATGCCGGCTTGGCACTCTCCACCGCGGCTCGGCACAAGCCATCATTTCTCGGAAAGGTGCTGAGTCCACCACTTGGAAAGGGAGGGACTGCAGCACCAGCAACTTGGACAGGAGGACGTTCAGCTTCTGCACCGTTGGGTGCGTGCTCGCAAACTGTTGTCTCTTGGAAACGGATTCCAAGAAAGACTGCTGACGGAATCCGTGAAGAGGAGTAGCAGGAGAAGGAGCATCTGAACGAGCGGAAGATGCCAACGAGCGACAACTCCCCTCAGCAGAGGTGTTGGAGCCTTGACTGGCTGATAGAGGGCGATTGACGTCGGGTGACGGAGCAAGTAACGGAGCAGGTGATGGAGCGGGGGCTGGGGCAGGCAGAACCGCCGTATCTTTATCACGGTTTTCCCAGGCCACCGAATGGCGACGCTGCATATGCTGACGCAACGCTGTAGTCCCAACATGGGCCCCCTGGCCACGCTTGACTTTCTGGCCACATAGTCGACATACGGCTACGTTTACTTCCTCGGGCGTCTTGACGAAAAATTGCCACACCGCCGAGTAGGAAACTTTGCCCCCGCTACTCCTCACTGGCTGACTGCTACTTCCTCCGTGCACACCGGCACCACTACTGGCCGTGGTGGTAGGCTGCAGTGGAGCTGGTGCTCTACTCCGTGGCCGTTTGCCTCCACTGACACTGCTGCGACCCTGCTGCCTCCTGGGCAACCCACCGACTGTTTTGCTCGCTGCCAAGCTGGCACCCTCTTCTCCTGATGATGCGGAAGCAATAGCCTGATGACGACGAGGCTGCCAAGTGCGATCAGCCTCATCATCATCAATTAGGGTCTCCGCCTCACTACTAGCCCCCTCGGCTGCGTGTGGGTCAGGAGACAGACCTGTCTCTAGACAGGCTACCGAGCCACTCTCCTCGCCAGTACTTCTTCGCCTGGCTGCTGAAGAGGCGGATGTCTCCCCCGTTCCTGACCGCCCTCTGTTAGCTCTTCCTCACTGTACAGTGGGGCTGAGCCCACAGCATGCGATACTTCGCTTGGTGAGGGAACACCAAAGGACAGGGGCAGGTAGAGGACACGTGATTTCAGTGGGCTTGCTCCCGGGCCATGCCAACTAACGGTTGTGTCTGACGTACCCACCGACCGTTGGCTGTAGGTGTCAGAGGTGACCTGGGAAGAGGAAGACGACCGAGTCAACCAATCGATGACGGCAGGGTTGTCGGTGGAGACACGACCGCTGGATGACACCGGGAGCACTGGCCTCTGGCTGCGACTAGTGCTGCCTCGACCCCTTCCTCTGCTGCCACGTCTGCTCGCTCCTGAAACATTGCCTCCTCTGCCGCTCCTCTGCGTGTTGTCTGACATTCTCTTTAATTCAATAGTGGTTGTGAAGCAGAAAGTAACAATTCTGTGTCCCCGAGTAACGATTCTGTGTCCCTGAGTAACAATTCTGTGTCCCCGAGTAACGATTCTGTGTCCCCTGAGTAACGATTCTGTGTCCCCCGAGTAACAATTCTGTGTCCCTGAGTAACGATTCTGTGTCCCCGAGCAACGATTCTGTGTCCCCGAGTAACGATTCTGTGTCCCTGAGTAACGATTCTGTGTCCCTGAGTAACGATTCTGTGTCCCTGAGTAACGATTCTGTGTCCCTCAGTAACGATTCTGTGTCCCTGAGTAACAATTATGTGTCCCTGAGTAACAATTCTGTGTCCCTGAGTAACGATTCTGTGTCCCTCAGTAACAATTCTTTGTCCCTGAGTAACAATTCTGTGTCCCTGAGTAACGATTCTGTGTCCCTCAGTAACGATTCTGTGTCCCTGAGTAACGATTCTGTGTCCCTGAGTAACGATTCTGTGTCCCTGAGTAACGATTCTGTGTCCCTGAGTAACGATTCTATGTCCCTGAGAAACGATTCTGTGTCCCTGAGTAACGATTCTGTGTCCCTGAGTAACGATTCTGTGTCCCTCAGTAACGATTCTGTGTCCCTCAGTAACGATTCCGTGTCCCTGAGAAACAATTCTGTGTCCCTCAGTAACGATTCTGTGTCCCTCAGTAACGATTCCGTGTCCCTGAGAAACAATTCTGTGTCCCTGAGTAACGATTCTGTGTCCCTGAGTAACGATTCTGTGTCCCTGAGTAACAATTCTGTGTCCCTCAGTAACGATTCTGTGTCCCTGAGTAACGATTCTGTGTCCCTGTGTAACGATTCTGTGTCCCTGAGTAACAATTCTGTGTCCCTGAGTAACAATTCTGTGTCCCTCAGTAACGATTCTGTGTCCCTGAGTAACGATTCTGTGTCCCTGAGTAACGATTCTGTGTCCCTGAGTAACGATTCTGTGTCCCTGAGTAACGATTCTGTGTCCCTGAGTAACGATTCTGTGTCCCTGAGTAACAATTCTGTGTCCCTGAGTAACAATTCTGTGTCCCTGAGTAACGATTCTGTGTCCCTGAGTAACGATTCTGTGTCCCTGAGTAACAATTCTGTGTCCCTGAGTAACGATTCTGTGTCCCTGAGTAATAATTCTGTGTCCCTGAGTAACAATTCTGTGGCCCTAACTCTGTCCCTAATACAGATAGGTCTGTCTCTCTTGAATGACCGGAGGCTAATGGAGAATTCTAAGATGGCCGCAATTTATAGCTCCACCATTACACAGTG